AAGAAGAAGAAGAAGAAGAAGAAGAAGAAGAAGAAGAAGAAGAAGAAAGAGAACGAAAAAGAAAAAGAAAAATTCCTAGCTGTATTAGGTCAGGCCTTGTTTACTTTATATCCTGAAGAGAGCTAAAAAGCATTCAGATCTTGTATGGGAACTTGATACCATGACCAGCATCACATGTGATTTGAATACTGCAATGTGATGATGAAAAGACAGGCAAACATTTTGCCTTATTAGGCAAAGCATATTGAGAGTTTTTACCTTTTGTTTTTCCCTTTCCCCTGGAGACTGTATGCTTTAGAAAGGGATCATTTGCCAAAGCAACCAAGGAAAACTTGGTGCTGTTATTCTTGTCAACACCTCAGCTAAACAGAGTATAGGTGGCTAAGGTCTGCTGACCTAAACTCCCAGATAAAGATTACTACCTACCTTGAAAACTAGTATTTTTATTTTGGCAAAGCCAATAATAAGATCAGCTGATGAGTGTTGCTGAACACACATCACAAAGCATTCTGCATTTTTCCTTCTAGCCAGGAATAAACTGTCAAAAAGCAGTTGCTTTCAGTTCCCCCTTTTAACCTTTTGTGCCACAGAACTATATAATGACAACCAAATATTTTACACCATGATTCTTGATATAAAACTTCATGTTCTATCTCAATTATCTTGTCTATAACCACCAAGAAGGTTTTAAAAACATTATCGCCACACTCCAAAACAAAAACAACAGAATCTAAGGTTCTAAAATTTTCCATAGTTAGATCTATTTTCTAAGTCCTTGAGATTTATTTTCAAGGACAAAATTAAATTTGTAAAGGATCAACAAAATAAAAATTAGGGGTCTCATAGAAAAGGTCCAATAGTTAAAAGTTTGTGTTGCTCTTGTACATGACCCAAGTTTGGATTTCAGCACCTCAGTCAAGCAACTCACAACTGCCTGTAACTCCAGCTCAGGTTGAGCAATGCCTGGCATGCATGTGCACATGTCAGGTTGATTGGTACCCTTTCCTGATGTCCATGAGTTCTTCCGCTCATGTGTACATGCCTAGACACAGAGACATAATTAAAATTAGACTAAATTTTTTAAAAATTTTCCTTTATTTTAATATAATATAATATTGCAGTCCCCAATGACAATTTACTAAGTCACAGTCTTACATGATTATTTTGCTTCTCTCACTGATTTTCTTTCATAGAACTTTTTGCACATTATTATTAACACAATACCTTTTGCATTTTGTCTGTATTTCCTAAAGTTTCAACATCACATTCTCCAAGCATGGATACACTAATACCTTCCTCTGCATCGATTGGCAGGTTGGATGATCGATGCCGACAGCAGGCCAAAATTCAAGGAACTGGCTGCTGAGTTTTCCAGGATGGCTAGAGATCCTCAAAGATACCTAGTTATTCAGGTTAGTCATTGTGACTTTGGTGGGACTATCCAATAATCAAATGTCTATGTGAGACAGCCTAGGAAATGGTGGGTCTAAACTTGGCTCTATCAACTTGTATTGTCAAAAGTATTGTCAAAAAGACAGATACTACATGTTCTTTCTCATATGCATATCCTACGTGTGTGTGCGCGTGTGTGTGTGCGTGTGCGTTTGTGTGTAACTGGGCACAAGAAGGTAACAGAATACATATGCTATAGAAGTAGAAAGACTACTAGGAAACGGAAGGACATGAACATCCATGCGAGAGGGTTGCAAGAAGACGATAAACAAAGCCAAGTATAAATGTAAATGCCATGACAAGGTCATAACAAAACCTTACTTTGTAGGTTAATTTTAGAAGTAAATATTGATTGTTTTATTGGGGGTGTACAGTATTCAAGCAATAACTGAATTCAAATGAATTGGTACTTATTTAAGTTAAAGAACATACCAAGAGAAAGTTTCCATTCGACATTGGAATCAAATAGATTGGATCACTTAATTGATGTAATAATTTGTCATTATGTTTACCTAAAGACTAAAAAGCTGTACCTCAAATATTCTCAATTACCTTTCTTCACTGAAAAGGACCTTTACCTTCAAGTAACATGAAGACAAAAGCCAGAATTTAGAAGATGGTAATTTTCAGTCGTTTTCCCCACAAAATAACTTTCACAAACTGAAATTGTTTACCTTAATATTACAAATATTTGGAAAAGCTGAAAATATCTAAGAAATGACAAGTTGAACAAAATTTAGAAGGTGTTTTGTACCGCTTCCAAAGTCATACATTGTCTGTGTTAATCTACTATGATTTTTGAATGCTATTACTTTGACAATGATGCCCTTATACCAAAAGATAAACCACGGGCATCTGTGTCCTGACTTCGTAGCATCAATGCAGCCATATTAAATAAAAACTGGTGTCAGTTGTCTCCTACTGTCTTTTCTCAACCCATACACCTCCTCAACAGTGAGATGTTACTCTCAGATCTGAAGTGGATTTTGCCACCCTTGAAATACACACATCACCTGCCCTAGTTTATTCTTGTTATTGTTGCATTTATTACATTCTTCTTATATTCCATTCTATACCTTTTGATATCTAACAACTGTATGTGATTTTTTTCTAGTTGGTAGTTAAGCTAAAGATGATTTATAATGAGCACAGGGATTCTCTGGCTGTTCATTTTTCTATTATATAAAATTACTATTGAAACTACATGTTATGAAGGAAAGAATAATGATTTGTGCATTTCTTATGGGCAATCTTTCAGGGCGATGATCGCATGAAGCTTCCCAGTCCAAATGACAGCAAATTCTTCCAGAATCTCTTGGATGAAGAAGATTTGGAAGACATGATGGATGCTGAGGAATACTTGGTACCCCAGGCTTTCAACATCCCTCCTCCCATCTACACATCCAGAGCAAGAATTGACTCCAATAGGGTAAGAAGTAATTAGACACAAGTACCATGCTATTTCTGAGAAATAAATGCATATACACTGTGAGCATACAAATTTCCAAATAACCATAGAGCTAACTATTGCAAAGTCTATATTAAAAACACACTGTATCCACAAACAACATGTCAAACTCAATACAGATACAGTTAACTTTCGAAGTTAAGCATGAACAATACAATATGTGCCTTGAGATATCATCATTTCAAAAGAAACCATCTTATCCATCTTAAATTAAACAAATTTTAATTGCTAAGAACCAAACTAATAAAATTTCCCACAGGAACAAAAATTCTTACCAATTTGGCATTTACTGTTCTTTGTTTAAAACATTACAGTATGCCATATTGCTCAATACTAGTACAACTGTTTTCACTCATTGAAGAAACATTCACTTTTCTGACAAGTAAAATACAAGCACAGAGATGTGTGTGACCTTTAACCCATAATGGATCATATTTAGATGCCCAGTGAATCTTTACAAAGGCATTGACAGGTTTTAATAGACACTTCTGAGAACTTACATTTCATATATTAAATTCAGTATTCATGGATCCCTGTTTTTCAATAAATGTGGGGACTGGAGAGATGGCACTTACGAGTATGTACTGATTTTTGCATAAGAGTTCAGATTCCAGAATCAGGTTGGTGAAAACTTCAGCTTTCAGGGATCCAGCTCTCTTCTGGTCTCTGAGGGCAGCTGCATTTATGTGCAAACATACATCCATTTTAAATAAAATAAATCTTATTTAAATATTTTTAATTTAAAAATGACTTTATATCCACCCAAAATATGAATGCCTCTGTATGTGAGATGTTATCACACATTAGAGATTCCAGGGATTTCTACATAACTTACGATTTCAGAAAATATCCAAGGCGTCCTGATAGCATGGAAATGAAATCAGCCTAGATGCTCATCATAAGATGAATGGGTAATGAAAGCATTGTACATATTTAAAAAATGGAATATTATTCAGCTGTAAAGAAAAATAAAATCACTAAATCTTCAGGAAAATTATGCACTTGAAAATTACAATATTAAAATAAGTAATCAAGGTCGAAAAGAAGAAACAAAGAAAATAAGAAAAACATGTATGGTTTTCTTTTCCATAAGAATTCTGGTCTACAGTGTACACATGAATGTTTTAAAGACATGTAAGCATGGGTATAGGATAGAATTTAGACAGGAAATCAAGAGGATAATAATATAATAATAATAATAATAACGAGGAAGGACAAGATATTGTTAAAAGGAGTATGACATTAATGAGCAAGAACATTATTTCTTTTTTCTAGCTTTAACTCCCTCATAGTTTTCTTCTTTTTATAATGGATAAGTGAATCCAACTTTCTGGGTATTAAAGCAGCAAGAATCATAAATACATAAATGGATAAATTAAAAAATTGATCACAAAAGTGTAAAACCTTAAAAGAAGCAGTAATGCTTCAGAATGACCATCCTAACTATATAGCTGATTGAAATGTCTGGAGTCTGGAATGTGCCTAGTGTATGAGCAGGTTCCTTAGACCAGTTGCATGGTGATTTTGCTTGTGAGTTAATTAGAAGTACATACTTTTATTAATTTTTTTAATGTCTCTGGGTTAATGGAAGAGCCACACAGTCATAGAACCAGCATGGAGCTTGACAAGTGCTGCAGTACATTATTTCCTGGCCATTAGTGGGTGTGGAGAGACATTGATTTTAAGTCTCCACTCTGTATGTTCCACTTATAAGGTAGAAATATGATTCTTGGTTGTTTATTAGGTAATAACTTTCCCCCTTCGTATCTCCATCTCAAAACACTGTCTCTCTAAGTAAACAATATGTCCTATGTGTCTTGGTCACAAGCTTAAGAGAAATTTCAAATTTCAAATTCCCTGTCATTCTCTAAAATGGAAGTAACTTTATGTCAGGCTGACAGCAATAATGAATTCTTACTATTCAACACATGTATGTTAACAATAACACAATGATGTTATTTTGTTATTATCAAGTCTTACAAACAAGAAATCAGTCACCACAAAGTGAAGTCATTACAATGGTGTCCAATGCCTAGCTAGCAGATCTGAGTTCTTAGATAGGTCTTTTGTCTCTCCTAAAATGTGCCTTGTATTTAAATATACAAGTTTATTTCCACGATAATTTCATTGTTCTTGGCATCAACATCAGTGTCTGGGACTTGTCAGTAAATTTCTCTAGTATTTGCCCCATAAAATGCAACTCATCTGTTTACATTTCTTTAAACTTCTTCCATTCGAAAGACAATACATAAAGGCAAGGCAAAGCCAGTCTTGTAAGCACACCTATAATGTCAACACTGGGGAGGCAGAGGCAGGAGGATTTTGTAAATTCAGTGCCAATACTTGTTTGTAGTGATTCCAATCCCTGTCTGAATAAATAGTGAGATCTTGTCTCAAAAACTAAACAAAGGAAAAACAAATAACAAAAAGAAAGAAGAAGGGAGTGGTAAGAAGGACAGACAGAAGAAGCAAACATTGAGACCTCAGTTTACTTTTCTATGAAAAACTTTTTTTTCCCCAAAGTTTATTAAAATATAAAAGTTTCCATTTTCGCCCCTCCTCCCAACACCCTCCCACTCCCCCAACTCCCTCTCCTCTTCCCTCTCCATCCCTAAGAGCAGTCAGGGTTTCCTGCCCTGTGGGTAGTTCAAGTTCCTCCCCGCTCCCTCCAGTACCGGGAAGGTGAGTATCTAATCAGACTGGATCCCCAAAAATCCAGAATATACAGAGGAAACAAGTCCCAGAGTCATTGTCAATGGCTTTTTAGAAAGACTTCGGGCCAGCCACATTCTATGAAAAACTTTTAATCCCAACCCAAACTGAAGATTTTTTATGGCCCCATAATGTAATATTTAAAATATTCAATCCATAGCCCAGGCAAGGTTGGGCACATCTTTAATCCCAGCACTCAGTGGGTAGAGGCAGGCAGAGCTCTGAGTTCCAGGCCAGCCTGGTCCACAGAGCAAATTCCAGGATAGCCAAGGCTACACATAGAAACCCCGTCTTGAAAACCTAAATAAATATGCAAATAAACAATAAGTTTAAGTTCATAGAGAGATGTGAAGCTCACTCTTTTTAGGAGGTAGGAAAGTTGGTAGGTATAAGAGGGGCCACTTTCCCTGCCCTCTCTATAGAGCAAACAGGATCAAGTTTCACAATTGTATTTATTGTTCTAAAAGGCAAGTTCATCACTATTCATTTCAATAATTTTTTTCAGAAAAGAGTTTTATTTCTTGAACTGAAATGCTATCAAGACATCAAGACCAAGGCTAGGTTCTTTTTCTTTTCATAAGAATTCTGAAATTCCACCTTTTGGTTCACTCTAATTTATAATACGTTATGCAAGGAATTCTTAATGACAGTTTGAGCTGGCTAAACAGAACTGGAAACAGTAGAAATCGCGTGGGGGAAGCCTTGGCCTTTACTCTTTTCTCTTCCGCATTTTAATTTGCTAACTACAAATTCCTATTTACCTTTCCAGGGTCTGGAAAAAGAATTGTACTTAATACCACTTATTTGGGAGTATTAAATAAAACACATTTCTAAAAATTGCATGTGTGTGTATGTATGTGAGTGTGTGTGTATGTGTGTGCACATATGTTCCATGTTGCACATGTGAGAATTCAAGAATAACCTCAGGTGACTTTTTACTGTCTGTTTTATTTCAAACAAAATCCTTCATCCACTAATGTGTAAGCAAAGCTAGTGGGCCTGTGATCCTCCTGTCTCCTGCTCAGATCCTAGGAGTTCTAGGATTATAAGCATGTGCCAGTGCACCTGGACTTCTCACTCTAGGAGTGCGAGGATTAGCAGCATGTCCTAGTGCACCTGGCTTTAGGTGCTGTGATCCCACCTCAGACACTCATGCTTTCGTAGTAAGTATTTTTCCCAGTGAGCAACATCCTCAGATCATATAAATGTCTTGTCATTTATATTGGTCTAATTATAAATCTCTGGCATTTTATAACTCTTATTTCAACTTATAACATATATAAATATTCTTTCCATCCTTATCTACAATGCTTAGTTACATTATTTCACAGTTACTTTAAGTTTAGTTTCTGTGGTCAAGTTACAATTATAATAAGGGACTTTGTTAAAGCAAATAATGTTGGAATATCTATAAATATGTTTGATAAGCCTTTAGTATCAAGCAAATAGTCAGCTTTTAAATGAAAATGCTTTTTCCTAGATAGATATTTCAGTAATGTTTCGGCTCTCTCTAGAATTGCTTTCTCATTTTTAAATTAAAATAACTGTACCCATCTATATGACTGATAGACAATTAAGAATTACATTTTCTCTAGTAACTGACAAATAAACATTAATATCCTTTAGAATAACATAATTTCTGTTTGTTTCTTTTTTATTTCTCAGCAGCATAAATACTATATATTAGGAATAATTCCTAAGAATGAGCCTCTCCACCGACGCAAATAATCCCAATCAGACCAAATTAATAGATATCCAGGTTTAATTGGCTGTCTGCTGTTGGAGGAGAGAGCTGCTTGTTGGTTCCCGGCTGCTCAGCCCTGAAAAAAATCACACAGAAACCATATTATTTAAATCACTGCTTGGACCATTAGCTCTAGTTTCTTATTGGCTAACTCTTACATTATTAATTTAGCCCGTCTCTATTAATCTGTATATCACCATGTGGCTGTGGCTTACTGGCTAAAGTTTCAAATGTCTCAGGTGGGGCTGCATGACATCTCTCTGACTCCACCCTGCTTCCTCCCAGCATTCAGCCTAGCTTTTCCTGCTTACCCAAGTTCTGCCTTACTGTAGGTCCAAAGCAGTTTCTTTCCTTATTAATGGTAATCACAGACCACTGCATAGGCTCCCTTTGCAGTTTCCTGATTCATCTATAAGAGAGCTTCCATCAACAAACAGGGTGAGCTGGGGATCTGTAAGTGGCTAGTCTAGGAGACCCTGCTGAGGTGAGGTTAAAGCCTCTATAG